TTTTTTTTTTTTAAATGTTTTATTTTATGTTCCCAGTAGGGCTGCAACAATTAATTGACTAATCGATGATTGAAAACGTTTTCAAACATCGATTATCGGCTTTCGATTAGTTGGCCATGTTCACGGCTCCACACGCTGTATGTAGCATAGACTAAATGGCTCTGAGTACTATTCCCTCCCTCTCCCCATCTGAGCGCTAGTAAACAGAGATTTACAGGTGGCTGATATAAATACACATTCAGCTACTTAAATGAGCTGAATCTAACAATACATGTATTGATGTATTGATTGTATTATATTTAAAGCTGAACTAAAGTCCGCATTGTGGTGGGTGGGCACATGTCATAATGTGTAAGTACAGTATGCACAGCATGCCTGTACATTATGGCGCACTTACAATAGGGTTGAGGAAATGTAGCAGGAAGGTGGGGACTGTGGTGATGTGATTAGGGGGGCTGTGGTGATGTGATTGGGGGCCTGAGGAGATGTGATAGGAGTAGGGGGGCTGCAGAGATGTGATTGGATGAGAAGATGTGATTGGAAAATGGGAAGGGGTGGCTGCAGAGATTTGATTGAAGAAGGGGGGGCCATGGAGATGTGATTGGGGACCTGGGGTCCATGGAGATGCGATTGGAGAACGGAGGGCTGAGCAGATATGATTGGAGAATAGGGGGCTGCAGAGATATGATTGGAGAATAGGGGGGCTGCAGAGATATGATTGGAGAAGGGGGCTGCAGAGATGTGATTGGAGAAGGGGGGCGGCGGGGAGGGGAAACTGAGGAGATGTGATAGGAGTAGGGGGGCTGCAGAGATGTGATTGGCTGAGAAGATGTGATTGGAAAATGGGAAGGCGTGGCTGCAGAGATTTGATTGAAGAAGGGGGGGCCATGGAGATGTGATTGGGGACCTGGGGTCCATGGAGATGCGATTGGAGAACGGAGGGCTGAGCAGATATGATTGGAGAATAGGGGGCTGCAGAGATATGATTGGAGAATAGGGGGGCTGCAGAGATATGATTGGAGAAGGGGGGCGCAGAGATGTGATTGGAGAAGGGGGG